TTATGTGTGGGGGGGAGGGAACAGGGGGGGTTCTTATTTTATGTGTGGGGGGAGGGAACAGGGGGCTTCTTATTTTATGTGTGGAGCAGGGAACAGGGGGGCTTCTTATTTTATGTGTGAGGGGGCAGGGAACAGGGGGGAGAGGGTAATATTTTATATGTGGGGGTGCATGGAACAGGGCGGAGAGTGTATTATTTTATATGTGGGGGCAGGGACTTTTATGGTAATATTGTTAAAGTTGTTAATATTTATTTTTGTAACTTTATTTTGCATAAAACATCTAACAGTGTGATTTATAAGATTATTTAAGAGGGTGTGTTTAGGGGCGGAGTTAAGGGCAGGGGTTAGGTGGGCAACTGGTGGCGAGTAACTCTTAAAGCAGGGCTAGTAGCTCAGGACTTGAAATTTTGACCCCTGCAATAGAAGACCGATTGCTGAAAGTTAATGCCGGTGCTTATAGAAAGGTGTCTGAACAGAGTGCATCGCAGTTTGTTGCATATGGGGTCATGCTGACCCTTGTCCATTGCCAATAGTTTCTACAATGGGCAATTGAGCATTAGAACTGGACCATTAGCAGTAGAAGGCGGCCTGGTCTAATGAATCACGTTTTCTTTTACATTACGTAGGCGGCCGGGTGCGTATGTGTGATTTATCTAGGAATGATATGGCACCACAAAGCACTATGGGAAGAAGACAAGCCGGTGGCGTCAATGTGATGCTTTCGGCGATGTTCTGCCACTCGTGTATGTTACTTTGACATGTCCCATCGACCTAAACATTGTTGCTCATAAAGTAAACCCCTTCATGGAAACTGTATTCCCTGATGGCAGTGGCCTCTTTCAGTAGGCTAGTGCACCCTGCCACACTGCAGAAATGGTTCAAGAATGGTTTCAGAAACACGAGTTTGAGGTGGTGACTTGTCCTCCAAACCTCAATCCAATGGAACATCTGTGGGATGTGTTGGAAAAACAAGTCCGATCCATGGAGGCCTCACTTTACAAACCTCCAGGACTTATAGGATCTGCTACTGACGGCTTGGTGCCCGATACCACACCATACCTTCGGAGGTCTAGTGGAGTCCATGCCTGGACGGGTCAGGGCTGTTTGGGTGGCTAAAGGAGGACCTACTCAATATTAGATGGGTGGTCATGTTATGGCTGATCGGTGTATATGCTCATTGAAAATGCACTAAGGGAAGAAGACAAGCCGGCAGAGTCCATGTTCTGCCGGGAAACCTTGTGTCCTGCCATTCATGTGAATGTTACTTTGACACGTACCATCTACCAAAATGTTGTTGCTGATCAAGTACACCCGTTTATGGAAACAAAGAATGGTTTGAGGTGTTGACTTGGCCTTTAAATTCTCAATCCAATAGAGCATCTGTGGGATGTGCTGGAAGAACAAGTCCGATCCATGGAGGCCTCCCCCTCCCAACTTATAGGATCTGCTACTGACGGCTTGGTGCCAGTTACCACAGCATACCTTCAGAGGTCTAGTGGAGTCCATGCTTTGATGGGTCATGGCTGTTGGGGTGGCTAAAGGGGGACCTACTCAATATTAGATGGATGGTCATGTTATGGCTGATCGGTGTATATGCTCATTGAAAATGCACTACACTTGCCCTTTAAGTGTTGAGAGGGGAATGTTTGCTTGATGAACAAGGTTCTGTCACGTCGGTTACGGAAGTAGAACAAGAGAGGCAACACAAGAGACGTAATTTTATACTATTTTATTGGAAATAAAACGCATTTAAAAATCTAGATGTCCCATGCTTTTCTCCAGTCAGTATTACATTGTGGTGTCTAATTCTCTGTAATTTACATAATTACTCATCTTACATCCGCTCTGCGCAGAAGGCCCCCAACCGGAACAGAGGCAGGCAGGCACGTCCGAGTCTCCCGCTGCTTCGAAACGACGAGTCCCAGCAGGGTCAACAACACAAGGCAACGATGCTTCGTAGCAGCGGCAGAACCGGCCTGTACCCACCTCTAAAACAAATTGAGGCCTTCAACTGCTGAGGAACAAAGTCACAGCCACCTCTTGGGGGTATGCTAGGCTGGGCATCCCCCTAAACGTCAGCTGAAGGTCATCCACGGCTGCTCTAACCTGCACGAGATTGAGGAAGGCTGTGGGGGGGATAACACCAAGATGTACACAAAGAAGAGAAAAAAATTCTATTATACAAAAAATATCTT